AAAATTGACTTCCTACACTTACAGTTATTGAGACCAAGCTCGAGTTGCCTCTAATTTGGTTGCAATTTTCCTTTGCAATAAAAAATTTGGTCGGGTTGTCAGCACCAACTTGTCCAGCCTCCTCGACTCCCTGCTGTTTGTCGTGTTGTGATGTGATGTGGTGTAGTGCCCGGATTTGCGTTGCCTTGGGCCATACGTTTTGTCGCTTCCCATTCTCCCAATTCCGTTAACAGTGCTCTAGTTTGTGTTTTTGTCGGATGCTTTATCGGCTTGAAGACGATCTAACAACGCGAAGTGACTTTACTCGATACAGGTGATTTCACTTTCAACCCATTCCGTGCATTAGAGTGTAAATCGAAGCACCTGATTGGATATTCACGAGAATCGTGTTTCTTTCAGTTGAAGCTGGATATTGCATGTGATGGTCACCAGGAGCTGAAGCGCAGAGTAGTCTTGCTTTGCTGTACACGTTGACGGCCAATATCACCTGAGTTCGCTTGAGGCGATGAACGGACACGAAATGGAATGCATCCAAGGCCTGGAAATGCTGTCTACTTTCGCATAACCCTGCCTCTTAAACGGTTTTCTCTCCCAGGCTTGATCACTCTGTTGACCTCGCCTAGGTCCCATCTGTTGCCATGACAGTCGCATCTGCTCTGCGGCCCCCCAGCACCCGGAGGTGAGGGGTGGAGTGGTGCTGCTGTCTTCTTGATGCTTACGATCCTGTCTAAAAGCCGCTTACCATTCAGATGAGACGCCAGGCCAGGTGAAAGAGGCCGTGGTGCCTGGATGAACTGATACATTATGAACTTCAGTGGTGCCAGTAGGCCTTGTATTCATTTAATTTTAGAGAGCTCAACTCTTAGACGCTTTGACCGCTCCTCTTTTATAAAAGGGTCGCTTCTGGTTCTGAAACCTACTCGTTGTGTGTGTATAAATGCGTGCCGACGCAAAATGCCTCCTGTCTTCAACGCCCGGTGGGCCAAATCAGATAATCCAGTTAATATCAAATGGGGTTGTAAAACATCATTTTTTTTCATTTACTAACAAATGGAACGCCACTAAAGTGCAATTAATTGTACCGAATGAAAAAAGCCACACGTAGCCGGGATGCTTTGACACGGGGCTCATCTAGCGCAAATCTATCCGGCACCAAATGATCCAATCGAAATACACTAATCGTTGCACAGATCAACGCAGCACAGCACGACAAACAGCACAGGCCGAGGCAAGAGCAGCGCAATACCAACTGCATCAAGGCGGAGCAGGAGAAGAGGAGAAAATGAGAAGATGAAATGAAAGAAAAGTTAGCTCACGCAATGAAGAACCGAAGCTGACGCAGCACTGGTCAAGGCAAGTGACGACACGAAGCAGCAGTACATGTCAAAATGTAAAACGATGCAAATTAATCAAAGTAGTCAGGAGGCTAGGCATCGCGACAAAGTAGGGGCCTAAGAAAGTGCGGCTAGTGACGACACAGCCAGTTACTACAGCGTGCAGCGTGCAGCCAGAGCAAGTGATACTGCTACTAGTTATTGTTAGTGTCAGTCTTGTTGATACCGATATTATTACCTTTTTTCTAATTCTGTTATAGCATTGTAAAATAAATACCACCGATGAATAAGTATCGATACTACTGCTGAGACTACTTAGCATGGTAGAGTAGGAAATAAATGTGGGTGGCATATCAGAAGAAAGTACACGATAAAAAGCCACCGTGACTCCGTTCAGTGTAGCCCAGTGCGGCGATGTGTGTCAGTTGGAGGCAAACACGCGCAATGTAGGACAAGAAGACGTGGGGTTTGCGCAACTCGAACCAAAGTTAGGCGACCATTTAGGAGGTAATCGAGCAAAGGGTTGACTTCACTTGCCATTGACGAGTTGTAGTTTGGTGCTAAGACTGACGTGGTTCACTGACGAGGCAAACCGCGATTGCGGCGACACGTCCACCGTCCGACTGTGGAAATCGTCACGTATACTATGGACTTCGGCCAAGGTCAATATGACCAAGTTGTAAAAACAAGGTAAAACATTTTGTATACAAGGAAAGGAGACTGCGACCATACTAAAGGCCATCTGCGATTGAGGTTGGACGAATTCAGCGAATTTGCCGGCGCAATCAATTGCATAGACCGAGGAGGCAAGGCGAAGAAACACGCGCAGCACGTCGACTTGATGTGACGTGAAGTGAAGTGAAATGAAATGACGTGATGTAACGTGATGTGACGTATCGAAGCGCGGCGAAAAACACATACGAATAGGGAAAGCGAGGCAAAACGATTAAAGAGAGCGGGAAAGGGCAAGTGAAGCTGGTGACATTCGCGCGCAAAGACAACTTGCCTGTGTTCTCTATCGATTGCCTCGACCAGCCGCTAAGCCGTGACCTAGCGTTGACCATGCAGGCTGAGAAAATCAATGACGCGCCAATTGGCCATCTGATTGGCCAGTTGGCAATTCACCAGGCCTTGCTGTTTACGCGTCTGCACCAATCGGTGAGCGGCATTTATGATGGGCAGTCTGTGCCTTCGAGGCAGTCCGGAGTGGAGCAATAGCCGGTGGTATGGCGTCAGTGCCCGCGTCAGATCGCCATCCCCGCCCCCTTTTTCGCCTGACACGGCCTGTCTGCCTGTCTGTCTGCAGGCCTGTTTGCCCGCCTGCGACGTACTCCACGTGAGTCCGGCCCGACTGCCCCTTAAAAATGGGGCATCAGCAGTGCGGCCTCACTTCTGTCCTGTGGACTAGTTGCAGAGGTTCTGACAGTTTGGCAGGCCTCCTCGCGGCAGCATCGCCTCGCGCCCTCTTTTACCGTGCCTCAGTGATACACCCGATTTCCGCGCCACCCC